TGATATTACATGTAGGTTTTGTCTAAAAGTAGATACATTTAACATTAGATACTGTAATTACAAACAATGGAACTAACTGTAATACAGTAGCTCGTGGCTCAAATGAATTATACATAAAGCTTCTAGCACATAAGACTTTGTTTTAAGATTAGTTTTGTGATAATGTTCACAGGATAGTTCAGAAATTTTGTCTTGGTTACTTGTCAGTTTAGAAATATGCTAGGGTTACAAAGTTAAAAGCTGACTATTTGTTTACTAAGGAAAGATGAAATTAATATTGTAACATTGAGCTCTGAGTATATAAGTTTTACTAAAGTAAATAACCACACAGCTAGACTGAAATTTATAAGTGAATTAGACCAAAGCAACTAGAACAGTTGCCAGAAAGCATCTTTGCTTAAGAGACAATAGCGGTAGAAACATTTTTGAGTGCAGCCTGCAAAAGGCTAATTGATTGTACAAACATATGCATTGTTGAAAGAACTACATAAAATGCATCTGTATCTTGATATGAACCAGTTCTTCCAAAACCTGTGGACAAAATCAACTTCTGGTATTTGTGTGTTTCAGCAAATAGAATTTGCTCTGTACTTCTCTTTTTCTGTTTGGTATAATAATAATAATAATAATAATAATAATAATAATAATAATAATAATAATAATAATATTTATATACCGCCCTTCTCCCGAAGGACTCGGGGTGGTGTACAGCCAGAATTAAAACATAAATATACAGATATGGTTAAAATTATTAAAAATTAATTAAAAAATTAAATAGTTTTGGCCGAATTTTAAAACCCAATATTAAAATGCAATTTAAAATCATTCAGTTAGACAGCCCCGCCTGTCAGAACAGTAGGGTCTTGAGGGCATAGCGGAAGACCCGGAGATCAGAAATGTTACAAATATCCGGGGGCAATTCATTCCAAAGGGCAGGAGCTCTGACAGAGAAGGCTCTCCTCCTGGATGTCGCCAGCTGACATAACTTGGCCAACAGTATCCTGAGGAGTCCCTTTCTGTGGGAGCGAACTGGTCGGTGGGAGGCTGTTGGTGGCAGAAGGCGGTCCTGTAGATATCCTGGTCCTATGCCATGGAGCGCTTTAAAGGTGGTAATCAACACCTTGAATTGCACTCGGAAGACCACTGGGAGCCAGTGCAGCTCACACAGGAGGGGTGTTACATGGGTGTAATGAGGTACGCCCATAACCACCCATGCGGCCACATTCTGGACCAGTTGGAGCCTCCAAGTGCTCTTCAAGGGGAGCCCCATGTAGAGAGCATTACAGTAGTCCAGACGGGAGGTGACGAGGGCGTGAGTGACTGTGCACAAAGCGTCCCGGTCCAGAAAGGGACGCAACTGGCGGATCAGACGAACCTGATAAAAAGCCCCCCTGGCTACGGCCGTCATATGCTCTTCTAAAGACAGCCGTGAGTCCAGGAGGACACCCAGATTGCAAGCCCTCTCTGTGGGGGGCAAAGATTCACCCCCAATAGTCAGCGATAGCACCTGCTGACTATACCGGGATGCCGGAAGCCACAGCCACTCAGTCTTGGAAGGGTTGAGTTTGAGCCTATTTCTCCCCATCCAGACCCGCACGGCCTCCAGGCAGGGAGACATCACATCAAGGGCATCATTGGGGTGGTCTGTAATACACAGAACAGTGAGATTGATGTAAAAAACCTAGGATTCTCCATGATATAAACCATAATATAAACATTATGTTCTCTATGGACAAATAAAGTAGCAGATTAAATCATTTTAGATATGCTGCTTTCTTGCCTTGTTTTTCACAATGAGCAGAACAGCCAGAAATATGCAGAGCCACTAAACACTTTTTTTTAGCCAATCTTGATTGATCTTCCTGCTTCCTGTTCCTGCTTTAGGGAAGAAAATACTCATCCAGGATTGGAATCAGTAGTGGGTTGCTCCCGGTTCTGTCCGGTTCTTTAGAACCGGTAGTAAAATGCGGCGAAAGGCTTCTGCATGCGCAGAAGCGCGCACATGCACACACTCCCATTGTCAACCAGTAGTAAAAGTAAGTAGAAACCACCCGATTGGAATCTATGGTTCTTGAATATTCCTCTAGAAGAAATGAAGGCTAGACATCATTTGGAGAATTACCAATTCCTCTGAATCACAATCAGAGATCTGGTGATTTTTCTTCTGACATAATAATTGTTGCTGGATTCAAATACTTTGAATTAGTCATATACTTGGGGTCCATTGTTGATACTTGCAGAAATGTGGCCTTATATTTGTACAGGTGGGAAGGAAAGAGGAGCATATGAAGGATAATTGGAAATCAAAGAATAAAAGTAAAAATATTTTCATCATGAAAATGAGTTGGAACTGAGGCGTGAAATGTACTTAAAATGCAAAGAAAAGGAGGATCTAGTGCATAACCACTGTTCTATTCAAAAGATGCTATGAGACAAATAAAGCAGCACAAGAAAACGTTGTGCTTAACTAATAGTATACATACAGTGTTTTCCACTTTGAAAATATGTTGTAATTGTGGTGCAGAAATAGGACTAATGGTCGGAACTGTCAAGCACTAGCTGTAGAGATACTGTTTATAGCAGTGTTTCTGAAACCTGGCAACTTGAAAATCTGTGGACTTAACTTCAGCTGGGAAATTTTGAATTGTGAGCTGAAATTCACACATCTTAAGTTTCCAGGTTCAGAAACACTGGCCTAGAGTATACAAAAGACTGTTTTCTTTCTAAGACAAGAGGTACTATTTTTGTCTTAAATCAAAGTGCTATGACTATTATTTTGACCTTCTTCCAAAACTCTTTTCAGTTGCTCCTTTTAATTTGTCTCTGACAATAACCAGCCCCACCATTCCAATTTTAAGTACAGCAATAGTTGAATGCATGTCAAAAATTATGTGGTGAATAGCGGAAGAGATCTGGAGACCTTGTTTAGTATTGTTTTAACACTCAGCCTTTTTTATTACTCTGCTTTTGGAATTCAGCTCTACAACCCGCATACATTGATCTCAGCACTTAAACCAAGCACACTTTAAGAATGTATGATGCCTTATGAGAAAACATGCGTGTCTCTTCATATCTGAAGGCTTTAACTTTTTTTTTTTTAAAGCAGAGAATACAGAAGCAAGTGGACGAATCAATCTTTTTAGAGGAACAATAACAAAAAAATAAAATAAAAACCAGCAAATTGTTTGGTAAAACTACAAAATGAATGTGAAGTTGGCAAACACAGTTAATCTCAACATGGCATCATAAAGAATGAGCAAATGAGGATATGATAATATCCAAACATCTGGACTGAATTTTTAATTAAAAATCCATTTTGATGAGATTTACTAAGATTGGAACTTGGTTTTCTTAATTGATAGCAGCCAATCAAACCATCAATGTGGCTTTATAATAGTAAGCATGCAGCTTTTACTAGTAATTCCCTCAAAGACACATTGAAACACCACACTAATTTCCTGTTGCTGAGCATGGATAAGATTTAATGTCTTTTATATAAATGTATAAAAAGGCCTGACAACATACTTTGTTATGTTGGCTATAGTTAAAAGAGCTGAGAAGGGCTGGTAACAAATGCTTTCTCATGTTAAATGCTGCCATAAAAAGGTGCATATCTTTTGTCATTTATGACCTTAGGGCAGCAGATGTGCAACATTCAAGAACTGATAAGACTTTTTATCAGAAACCAATTCCTATGCTTGTAGGCATCTTTAAGGTCCATGTTTCTATCTTTCCCATGTAGTTCACCATTGTAGCAATAATGTTACAAATGCTATAAAATGTTATTCGTTTTACTGTCTTTGCACGATGTCCTTGAAGATGTCCATGATTGGTTAACCTGATTTCTATAGAATGCAAGAGATTCTATAGAACAGGACACAGAATTGTGCTTTTTAAAAAACTGTTAAAAATATGCACTGGTCATAATTCGTTCTTACTGGTCTGCACTTTTGTAATTAGAGTTTTCATGGAATGAATTTTTCTATGTGGCATAATTCCAATTTTGGCTTTCTCATAATTAAAATATGGGTAGAATGTTGTGCATAACCTCAAATGAATGAAAACAGAATGTTAGGCCTTGGTTGTTTCTTGAACCTTACTGTGGTTATTAAATGATTACTGCTTCATATCATATAAAAACTGGGAAGAAAGAAGTGAGATTATACAACCAAATTACTTTTGTTTAGTCTGCTCCATTTGGTTTTGGTTAATAAACTGAAAATTAGTGAATGTCTTCATATAAAGCAAGACATCAGTGAGCTAACATACATTAATGAATATAAGATTTAATTGTACACCTGTTAAAAAGCACACCGTCCAATCAAGGACTTGCAACTTTTAGACAGGGGCAGGTGGAGGCATTAGAGATAACTGACATCCAAAATTACAATCAATTGGCCAAAATCTTACAAAACAAACTAAAATTATCATAATTAAATCATTACTAGTGAGATGACTTTAATAAAGAAATTAACAAGACCCACAAAAGCAAGCTTTGATGCAGTGTACATCAAAAACAGAAGATGGATTAAGCTTATTTTTTGTATGACTGAAACAAAATGGGATTTCAATTAAATCTTAAATAGTTCCATTGATAAGAGCTGTTCAACATTAAAATATCTCTCAGGAAATAATGGTCTCTTCTCAATTAGCAAAGTTTGGGATGCTTTGGTGGCACCTTATACTTTTAAGTGTATTTGCCACAAATATATCTGTACTGTGTTTCACACTTATTTCTTGTATTTTCTTTAAAGTACAAGGTATTTGTACTTTATTTTGTAATTTACATATGTAACTTATTGAGAACATATATGTTCCCAGAGTCTTTCTTCAATATCTAAACAGGAATCTTAGAGAAGAACTTAGTGCCACATATTCACTAATAGTTTTGGTTGCCACAATATTACAAAAAAAAAATTGAGACTAGAAAAGTGCAGAGAAGAGCAACAAAATTGATGAGGGAATTGGAGGCTAAAACATATGAAAAACAGTTATAGGTAATGTATATGTCCAGTTTAATGAAAAGAAGGACTAGGGGTGACATGATACCAGTCTTCGAATATTTGAGGGGCTACCACAAAGAAAGGGTCAACCTATTCTCCAAAAGGGAAAGGGTCAACCTATTCTCCAAAGCACCTGAAGGCAGAACAAAAAGCAATGGTTGGAAACTAATCAAGGGAACAACCAACCTAAAACTAAGGAGAAATTTCCTGACAGATAGAACAATTAATCAGTGGAATAGCTTGCCTTCAGAAGTTGTGGCTGCTCCATCACTGGAAGTTTTTAAACCACTTGTCTGAAATGGTATAGGATTTCTGATTGAGCAGGGGGCTGGACTAAAAAACCTCCAAGATTCCTCCCAACTCTGTTATTCTGTTATATCAATTACATTTAAACATAGTAACAAGACAGAATGCTGCATTTTCTCAAACAATATATAATACACTTCAATTTTATTTAAAACATGTTTTGCAAGATATAAAAATATTGATCACAGCGAAATTTAAAAATTGTTTCCGGTATAAAAAAAGGAATGCATACAGTATCTTTAAAAGAAAATAAATTATGTAATCATTATCTTTTTTTAAAAAAAATCACAATGAAGAAAATTTAGTCTGCTTCATCACTGACAAATTATAATCTTCATAATGAAGAAAATCCCAGTTTTTAAAAAAAAATTACTTCCCATGTGTCTCAGAGTAAAAGTGTGTCTGTTTCCAATAATGTTATAATGTCTCTTCTGCATTGTAAATCCACGTTAGCAGTTTTTTTAAAAGTAGAAACAGGAAAAAATGTACATCAAATGACATTGTCTTTTCTAATTGATAAGTGGTAGTTTCCAGTATGTGGGTACACAGCGACAAACTTCTTCACTATAATAGAATCCAGAATCACAGCGTTTCTTTCGAACAGTACATGGTCGTCTGTAGCAACTGAGAATAAATGGGGGAAAAAAAAGCATGTTGAAAAAATGGTATGATACAAGTTATATGCATTTAAAAAATGGACAGAACTATTCAAAATAAGGTAAAGTGAATTGTAGATTTGAATTAATTTTGTTTTCAGGGCTAGGTTTTCATTTATTTCATTTATTTTCTTGGGAGTGCACATTGGCCGTTGCAATTTTGCATACAACCCAAAGTTATTTACTGTTTTAGCTCTGTATTAGTCATCGATACTGACACCCATTATGTCACAATCAGAATAATAGCCATCAGGAGGGGTTCAGTGATTTTCCTAGATCAGCAGTCTCTTCTTGCTAAGAGGGTGAGGAAACAGGGACTACACACTGATCTATAGCAAACTCATGCTTAGAGGCAGCATGTCATTGAACACCAGTTGCTCTGGCAACTGTGCTGGATGGAGGCATTGCTTTCATGTCTGCTTGTGCCTCTGGACTGGCCACTGCAGGGAACAATATTCAATGGATTTGTTATCTAGTTTTCAGATTCTCCCTTTTACTTCTCACAAGCAGAATACATTCCAAGGACATTATTGCATCCCACAATTATTTATATCTGGAGCTGTTATTTTTATAGACACTTGATTTATATTTCGACTTTTTTTCCAAGGCAGTATGCAGTAGTTTCTGTTCATTTTTAAATTCACAGCAATCCTATAAATTAAAGTTACTTGAAAGGAAAGGACCATTTCAGTCACCCAGGGGCTGGATTCACACAGAGGTTTAACCAAGGCAATTAGAAGCATAGGACCTACATGCCAAACCCAGATACTTTTAATCTTGGATAGTTTTTAATGGATAAGTACGTTACACAAATACAGAGTGTTTGGTCAGTATATGATTCAACGTACTGTGCAAATGTATTAATTCAGCAAATGTGAGATCTAGTCACAATACACATTAATATATATGGGAGGTAATTTATTAATATTTATTAATGTTACACTTATGGCTTTCATTTAAGTGTGCAGTTGTATATATAAACTCTTAGTATTTTTTTAGTCTCACTTATTAAATGTTGGGAAATCAATCAAATCTTCCTGTATTAAATTGGACTGTAAGGTATTTAAGACAAAATGAAGGATTCCAATTTTAGCAATGTCCAAGTTGAACTATATGACAGTTATTTGATTGTTTGAAACAATACAGTATAAAATACCGTATATTAATAATTCAATCATTCATTTTAAAAAAAATTCCTCCTGACGTAAAAATCATTTGTTTAGTGACCACTCAAAGTTATAATGGCACTAAAAATGTGACATGTGTCCAGTTCTCATATTTACAACTTGCAGCATCCTAGATAAAAATTCAAGCACTTGGCAACAGACAAGTTGCATCATCCTGGAGTCAGTCTTGTGATCACCAGTTGCTTGTTTTTGACAAGCAACGTCAATAGAAAACTGTATTCACTTAACAACTGTGTGATTCACTTAATAACTGCCATGATTTGTTTAACAACCATGGCAAAAAGGCATAAAATTGGACAGGACTCACTTTAACAACTGCCTTGCTTAGGAGTAGAAATTCTGGCTTCAGTCGTGATCATAAGTCGAGGACTACCTGTAGTAAGGTTGTAAGAAAGGAGCTGGATCATAGGTAGCTATGGTAGCTATAAAAAACCTGCTAACATCTCTTTCCCCAAGGAGCAGAGGAGGCTGAGTGCTGACTAATGCCACAGAAACATTATATATATTTGGGAACAAAAGCAGAGGCCATATGTAAGTCACCATTTCTAATAATTGGAGAATATTAGATCTTTCAAAAATGATTATTAGTATACCCCATTAATACTACCAAACCATAAATCATTATATCAGGTTATACAAAATGAACACTAATAAATATTTTTAAAATAAATGTATACAGCTAATAATCATATTTATTTTCATTTTAATGAGTTTTACTTTCAGGATCTACTAGGCCAAAGATTTAATTCCTAAAGAGAATGAGCTATCCTACCAATCTGAATTATTTTGTTTTCATGGAAATCCTAATTATAAAATCTGGACAGAAGCCAATGCTACATACATATAGTTTGCTTACACATATTTTTTTGTTACATTAGAAGAACAATGTGCATGCTCAAAGCTTATATACAGACAATCTGAAATGAAGATGAAGAGGCAGTAGTAATTTATAGTGTTATTATACACATTTATTACTTTTTGTCTAGAAAGTAATAAGATTTTACTAGCTAATAATTCATGCTTACAAGATAAATATTTTACATTGGTAGATAATTTGCTTCTACAATGATTAGCATGATGATTTCATATGGCTGACTTTAAACCAAGTTGACCTAACATAACCTCACATTGACAAAGCCAAAAAGCCTCTGGTGTATAATGTAGACAAAGTTTAGTCTTTGGGTGTTTTAAACATTGGCAGTGAACCAAGAGTGAGAAGTATATGCTTCAAGTTTCAACACAACTCTAGCTTAAATTCTTTTAATTTTGTTCTATTTTTATAATACAGGATAGTATTGTAATGCTAATGGGCATGGCTTATAATTAATAACTCATTTACATCTTCCAGTTTGTAAATATTATTACTTTCATTTTGTGGTGGACCAGAAAAAAAGTTGCTATTCCTCTTTCTGTTCGAACTTCATCTGTATTTCCCTGCCTCATTAAGCTTAATTCAGAGTGGCTTCTGCATCTTGTCAACAGAATTAGGATTTAACTCCAGTAGCAAATACTATAACCCATATCTCAAGCAACAAAGATACTCCAGAAGGAAACCTTATTTTTGGAATAAAAGATCCAGTGCAGATACATTTGTCAAGTTCATTTCCTTTCTCTTTTTCTTGAAGTTCAAAACACATGTTTTCCTTCCGGTTAATTAATTTTACTTGTGCATGTACATTGCAAAACATTATGATTTTTAACTACTTCATATTTGAAACATCCCACTTTGATTTAAGATACTATTTCAAATGCAAAACGCTTATTTTAACCTAAAAGCACTTATGAAATGATTAAAATGTTACTGTTTGCGTTCAAAACAACTGTTTTATACATATAATGAGATATTTTGTATCAAAAAGGGATTTTTCACCTTTCCAGTTATTCAGATTCCATTATGCTTCTACTTGTGCTTTAATTTTTACTGACAAATTTTAGAAGCGTTACACAGTACTACATGTCTCCCCCTAATACCTCTATTTTCTAAAGCATTTTTAATATATTTTTGATGGGGCAAATTGATAGAACTATATGATGAATTACAATGCATTATTAATTTATGCAACTTAGCAAATTCCTTTTAAATGGCATTTTAAATATAACTTATTATATTTCCATGTATATGTAAAACATTTCCTAGGAAGCAATGATAACTTCTAACTACTTGACATTATTCAGCTGGTCAAATGTTTGCAGAGTTACCATGTGAGTTAATACAGCTATTCACATATGAAATGTGTCTTTAACATAGAAATATCATAAGTTTAAAGTAGCTATTACATTCCCGCCCAATTCTGACCTAACCAATAAGAATTGTAAACTATTACTGCATTTCCCTTGCCTATTTGTAAAGAGCTGCAAAATTATTGATTGTAGAATTTTAGAGATCCAGACATAATGAATAATTGGAGCCATGGAAATAAACCCCAACAAAAATGAGGCAAACTCTCTAAGACTTAATAATAAAGAGGAAACTTCCACAGTTTATAATCTGCAACAGAAACTTGGCAGAATCTACTGCATATTCTAAATTATAAGCAAAAGCAGTTGCAGAAGAAAAAATGTTAGCACAATCAGATCTCTTCTTTAAAAAAGAGAATTATGAATACATACCTGTAGAATAGGCAGTTTTATAATCAACTTTCAATATCATGAGTATAAAACATGAAAACTTACTTTTGCCGGTGCTGTTCATGACAACTTGCTCCATGTTCTGAACATACATGGAAAATGATTCAGAAGACCTATATTGGGCCTTGTGTAAGTGCAATGCCTCTCTGTATTCATGTAAGAAGGCTGACCCTTTTAAAGACTGCTTTGGCAAATTAATGAATAGCAGAGAAGTGTTGGAGTTGCCTGGGTTTGAAGCAATGCTGGATTCTTTAGAATCCTGTACAACCCTACTACTTCTGAATTGATTTATCAGATTAATTAAATGTTATAATATAGAATGTTCCAGAGTTTTTATCTTTATATAATATATATAGCTGTATTTTATAGCTATCTGGACAGATGCTAGAAGAGGGCTGGACAATGCTGATATACAGTAAATATTATAGGAAAAAGTTCTACAAGACTTAGTCCTCTTTAAAAAGTGATTTTGATTTTGTTTTATAGTATTGATTCTATAAAATAGTATCAATATGATATGATATACTTCACTGATTAATCAACTGACCATATCAAATATGAACATCAGCCACAATAAAATGAGACAAGATAAGGTGCAGTGAAATGGGATAAAACAGCTTCGGCGAGATAAAATACAGGTAGTCCTCAATTTACAACAATTCATTTAGTGACTGTTCAAAGTTTCAAAGGCACTGAAAGAAGTGACTGATTACTGTTTTTCACACCTACAGTACAACCACTGCAGCATTGCCATCATCACATGATCAAAATTCGCCTGGCAACTGACTCCTATTTGTGACAGTTGCTGTTTCCTGGGATCCTGTGATCAACTTTTGTGACCTTCTGACAAGCAAAGTCTATGGGGAAGCCAGATTCACTTAACAACTGTGTTACTAACTTAACAGCTGCAGTGATTCACTTAACAACCGTGGCAAGAAAGATAGTAAAATGGAAGAAAACTCAATTAACACTTAGCAAAATAAATTTTAGGCCCACTTGTGATAATAAGTTCAGAACTACCTACAGAATAAAATCTAGTAGCTAAGATAAAGATAAAAGAGTAAGATAAAATAGTATCAGGAAAAAATGGAAGAATACAACATTACTGAATTACTTTACAAATTACTTCTTACAAGCTTGATAAAGAGTATCAAGCTATAAGAAAAAAAAATTCAACAAAAGTAACCGTGTAAAGCAAATAGTCTTGAAGCAACACACACACGCTTTAGGAGCTACCCAAATGAGTTTGATTTAAAATGTCACGTTATTCACAAAAACTGATATGTTTGCTAAGATTTTTATAGGCATTTAATGATGGCAGAGAGGACATATGACTCCCCTCCCCCAACAAAGAAAATTGTGTTCTGCCAAAACACATTGGTGTTCCATGTTTGCAGTGGGATTAAGGTTACATTAGAGCCAATTGGTTTTCAACAAATCAACAGTGTTATGAGGAAATCACCAAAGAATGGAAAAGACACATGAGCTGTAATCATCCTGGCTTGGCCTGCCACATCTTGTGCAAAGTCTTCTGTAGAACCTGCCACACTAGCTTGACGAATTTATATGTTATACACAATTCTGAATCTCAAGTTACATCATGCCTGTTGGAAATTTATAACAAAACTATCTGGCATGGATACAATCATGGAGTGTATATTAAAGGTCACGTTAAATGGAAAAAGAAATAAAACATGATGGATTAATAGTTCACCCAGAATTTTTAATCCTGCAGTTTCATTTTATCTGCAAGCACCATATAAGGATTGCTGTTCTCCCCTTAAGCTTTGTTCATTTTGAAACTTATCTTTAGATAACTTATTTTTGTTATTGTTATTTTGTTATTTATTATTTAATAAGTATTTATTTTCTACTTATCAATAATTCATCCATGCCTGCCTATGACTTGATAACAGTTATACATAGTAAGTCTATTATCATATTGAAAATCCATATAGAATGTTTCTTATGTTTACTTTCTAGTAAACATCCTATATTTTATCCTTCATTTACTTCGAAGTCCACCTTCTGGTACAATAATCAATTATCATTATGTACAATAATATGATCAATATGATCATAAATATTGACAAATAATATATAACCAATGAACACATCATCTCTTTCTCTTTCACCATCTACATATTGTATGACATATGTTACATTGGGCTAGTGACACTATAGATATATACATATATACGTACATATACATACACATACATACACATACACACATATACATATACATACACACATAAATATGTCTATGGAGTTATCAGTCATACAGGTCATGGTTGTCACAAGGTGCTTTTTTCAAGCGGCAACTGGACTTTCTGGTTTTTCTTTGAAGACTCCTTGGAAGGAGTATAAATCCTTCCATTCTCCACCATCCATTTGAATCAGTACGATTCCTGGCAACTGCTTGGAATAATCCGTGAAGTTTTCTTGGCAAGATTACTCAAAAGTTGTTTGCCATTGCTTGCTCCCTAGGGCTAAACGTGCCTGGCCTAACATCACTCAGCTGGTTTGTGCCCAGTGTGAATCTCACAGTCCTCCAGATTCCAGCCTGATGCCTTAACCAGTACACCAAACTGGTTCTCAAGCATCAGTTATCTATCAGATATTTGAAAAGGAGCAAGATTAGAAAATATAAGAAAATGCAAGAAACTATACCCACTGTCATTTATAAACTCAAGAAGAATTATGTATCAAAGCTATGAAAATATGTTGTTTTCCTAGTTATATTGCTTACCTGCATGTTTGGTGATGAAATCTTTCTCCTTTCAAGAAGCATTTGTTTGGTGACTCTACACATTCACAAATACATTTTGTAGGATTTAATGGCTGGTTTTTAGGGCATGTTCTTTTACACACACATTGGCACTTTTCTTCATCAAACTCTTTGTTGAGTCCACAAGAGCTAGGAAGCAGTTTATTTTTACATGTACACTGACATGATGTTCTGTCTAGTTCTTTGTGAATTCCACAGCTAGAAGGTGTCACTCCTCCTTTACAGACACACTGACAGGTTTCTTCATCAAGCTCCTTGTTAGACCCACAGATATCATGGTATCCTTCAGCAGTATCTGAGCATTTGAAATAAGAAAAATATGCTTCAGGCATTGCAAAAGAGTAGAACAATTTTTATAGCTAGTGGAAATTATTCATTTCTCCTATTCATTTCTATATCATTGCACTTGTAACTACACAATATGGAGTGAAAAAATATGAATACATTGTTCCATAAAAATGAACTATAAAACTATAAAAAGATATTGTGGGCATTTTTTCTCTTTTCTATAAATTAAACTAAATAACTGACAGTAATCTTTTATCATATATTTCTTACCAGTATCTGGTGGATAGGAGGAGAAACTGAAGTCATGTTGTGCCAGACATCTGCATAAGTGATTATTCCAAATATGACTTTTTGGACAGGTTTTATTTGTTATTTGACACCTAAGAGCAAAACATAGTATCAATATGTATCAAAGCAAATTTAAGACAAGTGATAGTATATATATAAAACATAGGTGTTTAAGAAAACAAATAACATCTTTTATTGTATGTATACCAGCACATGTGGTAGAATATCCAGCTAGAGAGGGGGCAAAGTGAAGAGGAAGTCTTTGCACAGCTGGTAGCCCAGCTGTGAGCCCAGAGCCCTAAAGCCTTATTTGAAGCAGAACCCTGAAGTTAATCAACCAGTGAAATAGTTTGTCTTCAGAAGTTGTAGGTGCCCCATCGCTGGAGGCTTTTAAGAAGAGACTGGATAGCCATTTGTCTGAAATGGTATAAGGCTCCTGCTCGAGCAGGGGATTGGACTAGAAGACTAGACTAGAAGACTTGCAAGCTCCCTTCCAACTTCGTTATTATATTTCTGTTTGACTGTTATTAAGTCAATACAATACAATTAAGAATACAGTCAGTCTGGGAAGATTCTTGTAAATAGGCATTGCAACAATAAAGTAACTTTAATCAATTCATGATGCAGTCCTGGTTCCTTGTGCCTGACAGTACATTCTGTTGAAACTATTTTCCAAACTAGAACAGAGCTTTAATAATAATGTACTAGATCATGACCCCCAATTTATTTTAAGAATAAACATATATTTACACATCTTGATTTTGGTCTTCAGAACACAATAAATAAAATTCATATTTTATTTAAAAATAGTTTTTTTACACTATAGAAAGAAATATGCAATTTCTTACTGTGCTTGTATCACTGGCAAGGAACGTCGAATAATTGAATGAACTTGTCTGTAGACATCTAGTTTGGACATGCACCGGCAGGAAGTATGATTGGCAAAACTAATTGTTATAGGTTTGGGACCATGAGACAGGGGCACAGTGATTTCGAACAACTACAAAGAGCAAAAAGTGTAAGTCAAAACTATGCTAGTTATGCTTTATTTTCTTCCTTTTTCCTTCACAGAGCGTTTTCATCAGTTAAAATGCTCAAAGCTAAATGACTTCAACTATTAAAGTCTCCCCCGCCCCCACAAAATTTATACTTCTTTCTTTTAACAGTTAACTCAATACATTGTGAGTGAGAGATATATTTTCCATGATTGAGATAACACAAGACTTTATGACTACAGGTTTTGAAAATGGGCAGAAAAACCGAACTGTACATTTATGTGCTTATTCAAACTACTTATAAAGTTCTTCTAAACAGTTTATCACAAAGAGACATAGTCTTTTCAAGGCAGCCCCCTAAAAGTTTCAAATAAATAGGAGGCACATGTTGAATAATTAATGTACTTAGTATTAAAATTTTTATTTTTATTCATGCAACAAGAATCTAAAATGATGTGATCGCTATCTCTAAATCAATCATCAGGTAGAGTTTATCAGGTATGCTTTGACCTTGAAAAATTATTAGCTATTAGATTCAAAAAGATGCAATGTAATAGGAGTGTAAGTTTTATTCCTTTATGCAATTTGGTCTTAAGAAGATTACCTGACTGGGCAAAAAAACTCACCTATACATTGAAGTGATTTTGGGAAACAATACTGAAAAATACACACTGCACATGAAACACTGTTTGCTCCATAGCTAACTATACTACCGATTAAATTGGTAATAAAAAATAAGTTGTGTTGCATATTATAAGCCATTTTTCTTATATTTGGTCTCTAATTGGCACATGATGAAATGTATCTCTATTGAAAGTTCATTTATGTTGTAAAGCAACACTTCTAGCAGCTTGTATCAGTCAACGCAGTTCCTTTCTAATACATCAGCCAAAGGTTTGCTTATCTCTGACTTAGAAACTTGAGTGCTATGGGTGCTACAACTGTTCCTTTTTTTTAACACAGCTGTCAGGAAGAGGAGTAAGAAAAGCTTTCCTCAGTTTCTTCTATAAAATAAAAGGAACCTAAATACTAAATAAATGCTGTGGTGGTTAAGGTCCTGGTCTAGAAATCAAGAGACCATGAGTTCTAGTCTCTCCTTTGGCATGAAAGCTGTCTGTGTGACTTTGGGCCAATCACTCTGTCTCAGTGCAACAGGGTTCCTCTTAATGGAGAAAATAGGCTGAAGGAGCAGCATTAGGTATGTTCACTGCCTTAGTTACTTATGAAGAAATGTAGGATAAAAATCTAATACATAAATGAATATGACAAGTGAGCAGGGGTTATGTCAGGCAATGGATGTCCCTGTGGGAAAAAAGGAAAGCATTGGAATGCTTGCACTATCTAATGAGATGTAGCAAAGAGAAAACAAAAAGGTTTTAGAGCAGCCATATATTTAGCTGCTTTCAACCGTAGTTTATAGCAAATCAATTTAACTGATGAAGATATATTGTGCAGTAATCTTAATATACAATGAGCAAAAACTTTATTATTTCATTACTACATATAATTTTTGTTTGTGTAATGCCTGACAGATGAATATGTAAAATTACTACTGTATACTGAAAAGTTATGTGCTGGAATTGATAAAAAAAATCTTCTTTCTGATAGCTCATTCAAACATGTAAACTATCATTTGTTAAAGTACGGTAAGCCTTTAAATTCCAATAAAACCTACCAAACTGGACTATTCATATATGCATACAGTATATTATGCTGAATAACTCATGTGCATGGTGTGGCGTATGAGAGAAAGACACACACAGATAGAATGTTTGGGGGGGTGGGGTGACAGCAGAATGCTTTCAGGATAATGGTCTTAGTAGTCAATAGTCTGAAAATAGCAGGGGTGAAATGCTCCTGGTTTGGACCAGATCATCTGATCCGGTAGCAATGGTGGGTGGTGGTTCAGAGAACCGGTAGCAAAAATCCCTTCAAAGCATTTTTTTCTGCAACCTCTTGGCCGAAGAGGTGGTAAAAAAAATGCTTTGAAAAGTCTCTGGCAACTCCCAGCTGAGTTGCCTGATCGGCAGAGAGGTCTTTTTTTTAAATGCCTGACGATCCCAGCTGAGTTGTCTGATCGGCAGAGAGGTATTTTTTAAAACGTCTCTCTGACGATCCCAACTGAGTTGCCTGATCGGCAGAGAGGTATTTTTTTAAAATGCCTGACAATCCCAGCTGAGTTGCCTGATTGGCAGAGGCTTTTCAGAGGTTTTTTTTTCATTAGAAAAAATGCTTTGAAAAGTAAAAAAAAAAAAAAAAGTTGGCCACGCCCACCCAATCACATTACCCCCCCCCCCACCAAGCCACGCCCACAGAACCGGTAGTAACAAATTTTACATTTCACCCCTGGAAAATAGGTTATTTTGCTTGTGACTCCCAAATCAGGGCAATTGTTTATGAGCTTAGTAAAGAATATTATTGCTATGAAAATCACACATCAAAAGCCTGATTAAATAATGCAGTCTTCATGAGAAATCAGCAATCAGTATGTAGGACATAATTTCAGAAGCAGGGTGTTTTAAGGCATTAACTAGCTTAATCTTAAAACCCTTCAAATTATTACACCATTAAGAGATGGGTGCCATATGAGTTAGTGCCATTAAAAATTGTAGGAAGGCTCCATGTAAATCATTCTCAATGTTGTAGAAAGAAGGCAAGCTCCAAATCAAGCAGATAAATACCAGTAAATGTAACTAGTGAAATACTACTTGATTGAGGTGTGTTATTTCATAAGGTACTTATTTTCTTTCTTTATTTAAGATGTCATAAAATATGAGCAATGTTTTAAAAACTGAAGGTACTCTTTCCTAATATACTACACTATATTAAACCTACCTGTCTTGTCTAGATTATTCTCCAATCACGTCATAGTTTGCTGATAAATAAATGCTCTGATATCTAAATCATAGTATGAATTAAAATTTCTAATTATGTATTTCTTTGGAAACACATAATTTTATACTTTATACTTTATACATAGGGGACATGGCTCATTGGCTAAGACACTGAACTTGTTGATCAGAAGGTCGGCAGTTCAGTGGTTCAAATCCCTAGCACCGCATAACAGAGTGAGCTCCCGTTACTTGTCCCAGCTTCTGCCAGCCTAGCAGTTTGAAAGCACGTAAAAATGCAAGTAGAAAAATAGGGACGACTTTGGTGGGAAGGTAACTGCGCTCTGTGCACCTTCGGCATTTAGTCATGCCGGCCACATAACCATGAAGATGTCTTCGGACAGTGCTGGCTCTTCGGCTTAGAAACGGAGATGAACACCTTCCCTAGAGCCCGAAACAACTAGCACGCATGTGCAGGGAAACCTTTACCTTCCTTATCTTCTTGTAATGTATACCACAATGAAAATATTTTCCATCTGCTAATCTGTTATTGCGTCCTCATGAACTAGTGATTACTATATTCAAAGAAATTCTGAGGTTTCTAGAATCACAAAAGTTTATTAGAAAAGAGGGGGAAAGCCTTCTGAAAGAGATGCTATGATTCTCTCTACTATAACTGTCTGCTCAGAAAGAATGGGATTCCAGGAGCAATAGAATGTTTTGTCCTGACAGAAAGATGCTGATTTCTTTTGTGTGCGTGACTCAATTATTTGTGCCAAAAGAAAGTAAACTGCAACAACAAACAAATTTTCTACCTGCTTTAAGATTGAGCAGCATCCCACTTGAGGGACTGTGACAATGGTGAAATGTAAAATTTGTTACTACTGATTCTGTGGGCGTGGCTTGGTGGTGGTGGTGGTAATGTGACTGGGTAGGCGTGGCCAACTTTTTTTTTTTCTTTTAAAAGCATTTTTTTTCCCTACAACCTCTTCAGTCAAAAAAAATGCTTTTAAAAGCCTCTGAAAATCAGGCAACTCAGCTGGGATCGTCAGAGGCTTTTAAAAACATTTTTTCAGCCGAAGAGGTTGTAGAAAAAATGCTTTTAAAAGTAAAAAAAAAGCCTCTGATGATCGCGCGGCTCAGCTGGGCATGGGGGCGGGCAGGGATTTTTGCTACCAGTTCTCTGAACCACCCGCCGCCATTGCTACCGGATCAGGTGATCCGGTCCGAACCGGGAGCATTTCAGCCCTGGACTGTGAATAGTGAAGAAATTATGTGCAACTCAAATCATACATAAACAAAAAGGATATTTCTACATGTCTGATTCTATGTAGTTTCCAGGGAATCACAGAAGCTACTGAAAAAAGACTAAACCAATCAAAATATGCAGAAACAATTGAATTAGAAGTACAGGAAAGCAAACATGAAAGTCATTATTAATATATGCCTTGGCATCTCAAATACTGGCTGCAGACAATATTATATCCCAGGTAAATTAACAGGTGGTGCTGTGAACTGTTTCCATAACAGAGGCAGCAACAGAAGGAAATTGTTCTATGTAATTCACTGTATTATGATTAAATTAGGATTAATATAAAGGGAAAAGCTATTTCTATGCATGTAAACATTATTCTTAATTTATGTTTTTGGAGTATTCTTAGAGTCCTTACATCTTCTTAAGGATCTTGGAAGCAAAAGAACATTATTACTCTTATCACTAATTAGATATTTTTGTTTGTGTATTGTTTTTTTAAAAAAGATGTTGAATCAATCCTAGTATTTAAATAGCAGAAACTATCACTCACTGATTACTGATAAAAGTCTAGGCTCCCAGGATGAGTTCATAATCTCCATGAGACTCTAGAGCCATAGGATGTTCATTCTATCCTTTCATATGCTTCATATCATATTATATTTTTCTATTTCCATCATTTATGCAGATGATTATTGTCTATTGCACTGTTAACACAAAGCAATTTGTGTTCTAGAGAAACTTTGTTACCATTTTACTTTAAAATATTGCATTTACTTTAAATTTATGCAAAAAACAGTAGAAGTCTAAATATTATGCAGTCAAATCAACTTACCGTTTTGCTGACGTAGCTTGCACTGATATTCATACACTGCAGGCCTTCACTATTGCAGCAACCTCCACATCTGTAGACGGACACACATGGAGGTTTAAAGAAGATGTTTGTTGTTGCTCCAGATTCTTTTCCCACATCTACACATACTTCACGTGGCATGCATTGAGTTTTTCTCCACTCATTATCAATACCTGCCAAGTTAGAAGCTTACAGTTTATAAGATAATTCTTTTTAATAATTTAAATCAGACTCATAATCAATCTTTGATTATAAAATAATTCATGGTGAAATCCAGACTTAGTCCTATTTAGGCAGACGTGTTTCAGAGAGTGGAACAAGTTAAGCAAGATACCAGTGACAGTATCTGCAGAATTCAGTCTGGGTTTCATCTAATTTTTTATAGACATAGAATTTAAAATGCTTATAACAATTCCTAAAATTATTTTACCCAAAGAATATTCTTCCCTTCTTATGAGAATCTTATATTTCAGTGAATGGTTTGTATCACACAAATCCCCCATAAGTAGGACAGAATATTCTTTAAGTAAAATTAGCATGTGATTTTGTAAGAAAGATAAAACATTTAGATAGGCTGCCTTATGCATCAGATCATTATATATCCTGAAATGGTTGTGATGCCAGAGCTGCAGGACTCTAGACTGCAATCTCAAAGTTTAACACTATTTGAGTAAATTAAATAAGGCTTAACAAAGAAACAGATACATGCCTGAGAAAACTGAAAACCTAAAAGTAGGTATGACAGAGTGTTATGCATTTATTGGAGCTTAGCAGTAAGAATTCACAAATTATTCTGAAATAGCCAATTAAATGTTTCATTTTCAAATATTTCTTTTATTATTAAATTGCTCCTTAATGGAGTTGTAAAATTGTTGAAGTTATGATTTCAAATGGGAAAATAGAAGTTGCTTACCTGAAACTTTCTAAACCAAAACCAAAACCAAAACCAAAACCAAAATTGGTGTTTGTGCTATTAATTTAAAGAAATATAATTTTCTTTTGCAAGGACAGTATGTATATTTCCTACCTAGCTCCTTTGTGGATCTTATGAGAAAGGAAGAAAGAAGATATCTCAAGCGGGAAAGGAAGACGGACTATGTGACTTCACAGATGGTCATCTGAAGAATTTCAGTTATAGATAAGCTATCTGTTTTTCTTCATAGTCTCTATGTAGGCACACATTTGGGAGACTGGAAGTTAAACTGACAAACTACAAGCCAAATGCTAATACAAATAGCATTCGCATAAATCTGCATAAAATCAGAGTTAGAGGGTTGCTCTAAGTAGGGTCTTATATTTTCAGGAGACAAAATTAGGATAGAATTTATTTATATATATATACCGCCCTTCTCCCGAAGGACTCAGGGCGGTGAACAGCCAGGATCAAATACATAAATATAAAAGTTAAAAACAATTTAAAACAAGATTAAATACTTTGGCCCACAATTAAAACATCCCATTAAAATCCAATTTAAAATTTAAAACCGTTAAAATTAGGCTAGCCCGACTTGCTGGAATAACAAAGACTTCAGGGCACAGCGGAAGGTGCGCAAGTCCAGGATCCTCCGTACTTCCGGGGGCAGCTTGTTCCAGAGGGCAGGAGCTCCCACTGAGAAGGCTCTCCCCTGGGGGGGGTCGCCAGTCGACATTGTCTGACCGACGGCACCCTGAGGAGCCCCGCCCTGTGGGAGCATACTAATTGCTATTAGTATGATACTAATCCTAAAGATCTAACTTATATATCCAAATCAGACCATATACTTTTGTGTTACAACTAATCTGAAAATTTGGAATGAACAGCAATCTTACGCACATTTGGTAGACTGCTGGGGGGAGGGGAAGGAAGGAAGGAAGGAAGGAAGGAAGGAAGGAAGGAAGGAAGGAAAGAAAGAAGGCGGAAATATGCTCATTGCAGTGAAGTTTTTGGGTTTGATAATTGGAAAGACTGATGCTTCTAAATTAACCATATCGATCAAATTGTGAATCAAATTTTGAATCAACTGTTTCAGCAATCATCATGAATACTGAAGCAATATTTGTTTTCCATATTATAAAACATATGCATGTTAGATTCTCAATTTTCTTTATGAGAAACTGAAACTTCTTTTATCTTTTTAATTAAATATTTTTTTTAAAAGTCCTGAAGAAATGAAGTTAAGACAGTGGGTTGCCTATGAGGAACTTTAGAAGGATTAGCAAACATCTTACAAATTTATCAACATTGAATTTGCATTAGTATAGAAATTGCTGCTTAGCCTGTAGATTATCATCTTCATCATAATCATCTTTTTTCATTGAAAAGAAAAGTAACATTTACTATTTGGACTTATTTCCTATTTCAGACTTCATCCATAAATGCTTCTGTAGGCTAAGGATTTTAAAATAATGTGGTTAAAAATAGTTCATGCAATCTATTTTAGATGTTTTTTATGAAGCTGAGATAATGAGGAAATGATATTTCCATCCTAGAAGAAATATTAGCGATTCTAATTTCTGTGATTTCTGAAATTTCCAGAAGAAAGCATATAGATAACATCAGTGATTACTATGAGCCTGCTTTTTGAACACATTTTTAAAGTGTATATATATATACATTTTTAAAGTGTATATATATATATATATATATACACACATACACACACACATATACACACACACATATAATAATTTAAAATGTATTTGAAAGAACACATGCATTTTTATATACAGATTTAACAAACTTTGTAGACATTAGATTACTTACTTTTTAATATTTCTGTATTATAATGTGCAGCAGCAAATTTTATTGGATTTGAATCACCTGTTCTTCCATCAAAGTTGGATTGTTCCCTGTGTGGCCAACCCCCTTTCCTCAGCTGGCATTTAAACATTTTCCAATATTCTGGATAAAGTACAGTCATGAGTTCATCCACACTTGATACTGACCGCAACTGGTCTTCCAACTCTTTATTTGCATAATTCTGGTAAAAAAAAAAAAAAGAGAAAAAACCAACAATGACTTGTCTTTTTAGGGTAATATTGATGCATATTAATCAAATTAATGGCTAAATTTACATAAAATAAAGTCATTCCTTTAAGGTTACCCATTCAATGAAGAAGAAAAACATTTATCTTATTAGTAATATAAATTAACTATCCTTTAAGATATGAACACAGAACACAAATTAGTTTTAGACAAAAATAATAATAGTTTTCTTTCTGTATATCTCATTTCAAAGTAAAATTATAGAGAGTTTTGCTCTGATGTTGAAAATGTCTTTGTGTTATTTACTGTGTATTAAATTCCAAACTATGTTATTCCAGTGGAAGGAATAAAACTCATTATAATAAAATGCATATAGCTTTTATACTATTTGGTTATTTTTTTAACTGCTAACAATGCTTAGTCTTGGGGGTTGCTTCTGCTTATATATATAGTCCTTGACTTATGAATACAATTGAGCCCACATTTTTAGTTGCCAAGTAAGACATTTGCTAAGTGAGTTTTGCCCCATTTTACAACTTTCTTTGCCACAGCCATTAAGTGAATCATTGGAGTTATTAAAGTGGTAACATTAAGTGAATCTGGTTTTCCCATTGACTGTTTGTCAGAAGACTGCAAAAGATGATCACATCACCCCAGGACATTCCAAGTGTCCTAAATCTGAGACAGTTGCCAAGAATCTGAATTTTGATCATGTGACCATGGGGATGCTGCAATGGTCACACATGTGAAATATGGTCATAAGTCACTTTTTTCAGTGCCATTGTAACTTCGAACAGTCACCACACTCAATGTTTTAAGACACACACACACACGTTATTCATAATATAAAATATGTTACTTCTACATGTTCAGGAGTCCTGTTTGTTTTTATCAATATAGTAGGAAGACTGTGCAGATGCAAAATAAATTTGAAGATGAAGAATATCTTTACATTTATGCTACAGGTTGAGATCATTAATATTTTTATTTCACACTATATGGAAGCAGAGAAATAAAAGGGAAATTAATTATTTCAATGCCTCTTCTAAAATAAGTAAAGGATCTAATTGAAACTGCCCACTCTGAAATAACAGAGTGCTGAAATAACAGCTTTCTGCTGAGACTGGATGGTTCATCTATGCAGACAGATATAACAGTTCTCAAGGATATCAACACCTTATTTGCTCTAGCAAGATTGGTAAGGAAGAAAAAAGGGATCAGTTGGTAAGAAAAGGAAAAGAGTAACTCACTGCATTTTGACTTTCAATCAGTTAAAGACAAATTATTAAATTATTGCATATATAATTATTCAATGCTATAATAAAATGTAATAATTATGTATTATTATATACATATGTCAAACAGAGATTGGTCAAGTCAGTGGAAAAAGTCAAGTGGGAAATTATCTGGAATGGCTGCATAGGCATAAGAAAGCAATGTCTGACCTCCCTCCCCCCTCTTGAATCCTGTTGAACCTTATCTAGTCTGGCCCAGGTGTAAACCCCCAGTCTGAGAAGATTCCTGTAAAATTGCTAATTGAACTTTTCATGTGTGAGTTGATTATTTACTCTTGACAGCATGAGACATAACTCAAAATAAAACTTTATTTCAATGTAATCTTTTTAGAAAATAAAATGTTGAGGGTAGAATCGTACATTTTCATTAAATAGAAAGCACAGGTTACCTTTTAACATTTGGAAGTAATTGAAAGTATAAATATGAAACCAGATGCTGATGCCAAGTAAAGACAAGTATTCAAAGTGGCAACAGAAATAAAAAAGAAATTAATAAATAAATCTTAAAACAAGTTAGGTAGTCAATAAAAGAAGACCACTACGTAAGTTTACAACACTGTACATTTTGGTCAAAGCAACCTGTACTGCTCAGAGTGGTTTTTTTATTTTGTACAATTATGTATCTGAAGTCTTATTATCTGAAGATGTAAACAATGATGGCAAGCAGATTAAGGCAAAAGTGGACTAGAAAGCTGAATTTATGTACCTTATACAAACTAGGCAGTAGCAGGCAGAAAGCCAAATTGTCTTGATAACGACAATTCATTCTTCTCCATACTTGCATAACATGAGTTGACATTTTTGCCTTGATCTCATATGTTGTAAAATCTTTCGGCCAAAAAAGTTACTAAATGCAAGAGTAATCCCACACACAAATAAAAATATAGCTAAAGAGGGTGAGAGGCAGAGCCTGTGCAAAACAATCATTTTATCTTTCTGTGAACATTTCAAAGATAGCAAGGCTCGTAACAGAATCTCAGAGTTTTAAAGAGAAACAACACAGAATGGAGTTTTCAAGTTGAGATTAATAGATTATTGTCAATAACATAAAGATAATAAACATTACAACAAACATAGGCAAGGATTTAATCTTTTGTATTTTGTTTAAAAGACAGCTTTCCAGCGTGCAAACTATTTCCCAACAGTCACTTTTCTAATCACAGGAACAGATTAAAGTATACTGGTAGCAATATCTAATCCTAACCCTGTCTATCCGTCCATCCATCCATCCATCCATCCCTATCTTAAATTATAGCTAATTTAATCCAACAAAAAAGGCTATTCCCTTGAGTGTCTGATCATACAGTTCAGAATAATAATTTAGAACCCTTTCTGATAAAATGTCTTATTAACAAACATATATCTACCCTTGTACTCAGCAGTTTATTTTCCTGATAAGAAATCAGTATTTATTTGACAGGGAAATAACACCAGCCACTATTTCTGTAGCACTTCTGCAAAGTTGACAGGCCAACATCTACTTGAATTAGAATGCTCCATAACAGACAATTGTTATCTGAATACTAACAAATCCTTATGAAGCAATTTGACAGCCTATAGATCAGTGATGGGATTCAAATAATTTAACAACCGGTTCTCTGCCCTAATGACTGGCTGGGTAGGCGTGGCCAGGTAGTCATGTGACTGGGTGGATGTGGTCAACTCGACATCACTCATCACACCTAGCCCCGTCTCCCAGCCGCTCTCCCTTTCCTATACGCAACACCTCTAGAAATGAAAGGGGTAACCAACCCTCAGTTCCTGGTGCAAATGCCCCCCTCCCAGTGAAAGGATGAGAAGAGACCAGCAAAGCATTCTGCTCCCATCACCAAGGAAAGTAAGACATTGGAGGATGAGCTTATTAAAAAGCAATATATTGTGTCATAACAGCCAACATTTCACACCTGATGTGGCAGAGGCAATAAATCCTACTGACTCCTCAGAAGCAATTTGCAATTAAAGCCCCTTAGAGATCAAGACGAAACAGCGTACGGGGGGAAGTTCAAAAACTATCCACATAGTGCTTAAAAAACAACCTGCACCTGAACATCAGCAAGACCAAGGAGATGGTGTTGGACTTCCGGAGGAAGAGAGAGGAATATGCCCCACTTTACATTGAGGGGGGCTGTGTAGAGAGAGTTTCCTCATTTAAAGTCCATTTCAGCGAAGACCTCACCTGGAAAAACAACACGATCCAGGTGGCCAGGAAGACCCAACAGAAACTCCCATTTCATTAGGGTCTTGCGTAAAAACAGGGTGGAACAACAACTGATGACCTCCTTTTACCGGTCCACAATAGAAAGCATCCTCACTTATTGCATCACGGTATAACATGCTGGACTGACAGCCGCAGATAGAAAAACATTACAGAGGGTGGTGAGCACAGCACAAAATATCGTGGGCTGTTCCCTGATACCACTAGATGAGATTGCTAGGGCTCGTTGCCTTAAAAGAGTGAGGAAAATTCTCAGGGATGACTCTCACCCTGGTCATCACTTCTTTACCCTCCTACCATCGGAAAGGAGATATAGAAGTATAGCCAGCCACACAAACAGGCTGAGGAACAGTTTTTACCCATGGACTGTCTGACTCCTGATGAGAAATAACATCATAACTATGTAGTATGATGGACTGCAGGGCCGGCACAATGTGTAACATGTTCACACTGGTGCAATAGGACTGGGTGTTTTGTTAATATGATTTATTGGGTTAGGGATTTTCTGTCTTCACTGTGAGTTGCATTGTGTTGGGGGGGGTGCACTAAGAGAGCTCAACCAATCTCATTGTACATATGTTGTGCACTGACAATAAAGATTTGAATTGAATTATTTCATCCCACTGTTACCAAGGAAATATAATGTTTTCAGTAGTATCCATAAAATATTTTAATAATAGAAGTATTTCTTGGAAGACATAAACCACAGTGTACAGGTACAAACAGATCATAAGAATTTGGAGCACCTAAAAAAAGTGCCCAGTCTGACTCACTCCAGAACACTTGGGCTCAATTTTCCTTCCATTTATTCTTTTTTCATTCTCCTATATTTTTAGCTCATAGAACAAACACCACATGACTTTCATACAAAGCTGAATATAATATTCCCCCGTCTTCTTCACACATTACAATCTTGAAGTTAAACAATTTTATCCCCAAAGGTATACTACTTACTACAGAACAACTCTGGAGTCAGAACAACTCCAGACAAGCCAGGGGTGTGAGGCAAGCAGTTGATTTGGTAGTTTGGATTCACCTACAACATCTTGACCTATATGTCAGATGTCAATGGTTTAATTCTAAATTGATTCTTTTCTTCACCGGAAGCGTCGCGGCGAGACAGTTGGGGATTAGCGGGCTCTGATGAGTCCCGTGAAATTCCGGGCTGACAAACCGCTGCAGAGGGATCTTTGGACCAGATCTGTCCTGTAGGGACAGAGAAGAGAGGCACCTCGGAAGACCAAGAGGAACAGGCAAGTTCCTCGGAGGTCAGAGGAAATTCTCTCTGACTCTGCAGCAGGGGATGGCGGCCATTGCGATCGCCAGCAAGCTGGGGCAACTGGATTAAGAGATGTGCAGGAGCAGAGAACTGAGCGGAATATTGCTGCTGGGTGAGTGATATCTAACTCATAAGCAGAAAAGAAAAAAGAAAAAAAGGATTTTAAAAATCACTGTAAATGTCCTGGTGTCAGAATAGCGGCTAAT